AAGCGCGGTATCATAAAGATTTTGTTAATAGCTACTGGCTGTAATTTACACCAGGATCGACAGAATGTCGGATATAGTGGATGTTGTGCGGTTCGCTATGTTGAGCTGTGAGGATGTACCCGAGCAAGCAATCGGAAACTTCTGCAGCAAGGGTGATATCATGGAGGCGGTCATGATGGACCATGTCACCTAGCTACCCGACTGCAACAAACGCATTGATCGATTTGCTGAGGATAAGCTGACCAAGATCGTGGACGTTTGACGTGCAGCGTCAATGTAGACGAGGTACGTCGTGCGGTGAAAGACGAGCCAATCGAGTACGACTCAGACATGATCGAGCGTGTGGAAGCTGATAACGTCAGTAATGATGACAGTACCGATGAGGTGACAATTGGGACATCCAAGGCTCTGAAATGTTTTCACCTTCCGCCATCCTTCCTTTTGCTACAGCACGACGGTGACGAATAACGCAAGAAGCTGGCGATTACTACTGAGTGCGTCAAAAAGATTTGCTTGATTCGAAAGACTCAGTATACCATGGATGCATTCTCTGATTGGGTTCAGATTGACCCTCCATAAAATACGTTTTATGCAAAAAACGAGGCAAACGCGCCACGCGTTTTGGTCCGCTACATGGAGGGAAGACTGTAAAATAGGTGCAGTGTTCAGAACACTTTGTTGAACCCACTTGAAGTTAGAGCTGAGAAGACACCAGTGGTTCGCGTCATTATTCTCTGTCCAGTTGAACTTAAGCTGAAGCCGGGCATCGTACTCATAGTCTACAGTGAAGTGAAGATGTAACATTAAGCCTTCAAACCACTCGGGATCAGTGTGGTCCTGGACTTCTATTGCACCTGAATTCCCACTAGAAACCCCGCCCCTGCTTAACTTGCGCCCCAACACGCGCTCACTCCTGTGCTTAAAGAGCTGTGTACTGTGACCGTGACCGTAACCGGAGACTCGTGTATCGTGACTTCCAACTCTCCTGCCCTACTTCGCACGTCAATGCCGTAGACAGAAGTGGGGGCAATGGCAACTAAGTACAGCTGCAAGATCTGCGCGCTTGAATTAGTCACTCTCACTCTTGCACGCTTGGAAAATTCACCATCACATCTCTCATCACAGTTTTGACCTCAGCAACTGTACTCTCACCTTTTTTATCGTCAGATCTAAGATCCCCGTGTAAGCACGTCCCGTTCTAGTATGTCTCATTTAGTAAAGGAAATGGTTGGTCGATATTAGCGTATCCCTGGTTGACTTTTGTCGGAATTATCGGCGGAGAACACTGTAAGTGAACTTATCGGAGCCACATTAGTCCACTGTACTGCGAGGGATAGGAAGACTCAGGACTCGAATGTGATTCCAGAAATGCAAAGAAGACACCAAGGACTACGGAAGCAGAAGGTGCTGAATCCCACGTGAATCCCAAGCATAAAACTTTCAAGCCCACTTAGAAGGCCATCAGAAAGACAGGTAAGGCCGAGACCAAGGCCGGCATCTTTATAGAAGCCATAGCTGCATTCAGACGCCAGAAGAACTAGTCCATTGCATCGGATCTTGAGAAGAAGTCTCTACCTTCTTCACCTCAGATTATCATTTACTGATATTTTCTATACCAACAGATGCTACTAAGATAGTCTTCTACTTTGCTCGTTTCATACTTACAGCTTTATCCTCTTCATTATGATGTGGATTCCAGCCTTTTTCAAAGTTAATGCAACTTATTATGCTGAGCCTTTCGCTGATTTAGCGTCGGTCCCAGATTCTCATAAAGCTAAAAGTGGTAACCTACCTAGTATATGAACAATATGGAAGAACCAGAAACTATCATACCTCCCACTGAATCTCGGGCTTCATGAGCGTGATTCTGTATTGCTTCCGCATTTCTTATATGATCAATTTGGGCCGAGCGGTTGTATTAGTTTGGCATCAGCGTCTAGAAGTATTTTCACAAGCAGCTACCAATGTCCACGCGCATTTTGTTAATGTAATCCCTATCTCCACTGCAAGCAAAAACAAATTTTGGCGTGCGGCATGCCTCCGCAGATCAACTAGGACACCGCTGGCATAATTCGACTGATGTAGAAAACTGTTCAAAACCTCGGGCCCTGTGTTTCCTTTCGACTATTCCCTTCATTTGGTATGCGCTGCATTTGGTGAATAAAGCGTAGCTGCAAGCAAGCGCCGCCCCACACATATTGTTAAACTTGACACTCGTTTTTTCGTGCAAATTAAATTGCTAAATGTGCTCGACAAGAACGTCTGCCTCGTCAACTACTTATTCACACTTCATACTAGTAAAGACCGTGGCCTCAGACAATTGTGCATTAGCGTATGAATGGATCATAATGAAGGATGAGCTACCCAGCGAGATTTTTGCGCGGACCACAAGGACACCCCGCAAAGTCCAGGAAAACTTTTTTACAAGAAAATTGTAAGTGTGGTTTCAGTTGCGGACTTCATATACCAGTGTGTAATGGTTGAAACACATGACAGCGCTTTAAGTAGTGCATACGATTCCGCATTCCGACATGCAACCCACGCAGACGCAGGCATCTTCATTAATTTTATGCTCTTACAAATGAGCCCAAAGACGTAGCGATACGCAAGTTGTAATAGGGTGCTTCCGTTACATGATACTTTCCATAAGATAATATAGAGTATGAATATCACGTCAAGACAGACATAGTATACTAATATAATCCGCTTAACAGGTAATGTCGTGATGTAGAAGAACTGCACGTCCATTGGTTGAAATGGATAGATGATATCTACTCATGCAGCCGAGACATTGCAGAAGAACGCAATAAGTGGTGAGCAGGTAGATAGAATACACGTTCGCATTCAGGTATAGTTAAAAGAGGACTAGATACATGTAGGATTGAAATACTAAGCAAAATTTATCAACAAGAGATTTACTATACTAAATACGGTTGTACTTTACCCGTATCTCGTATCAAACCTCCTCTGCGCGATACGTGTACGTGAAGTTCCAAGGCACCTGTTTACTATGTGTTCACTGTAAGTAGCTTGTATTGTGACATTACAAGCGATTGATGCCCTTTACATCCTAAAGTATGCCGTCCTGAGCATACGTCTCTTTGCTAGACGACGACAGGTGCAAACTTACACAATTGTAAACTTTGGTGCTCGCACAACCGCCTCAATGAATCGAGTTGGGTGACGTTTTGTTGTAACTTTAGTTTGGTGCAGGGTCGTAACGGGGGTTACACTTCGGTAGGATAACCATTATTAAGGTATGAGGTGCAAACTTATTGCAATGTTTGTAGGGAGGTATGCGTGTGGACCGTAGGTAGGATATCCGTAAAGTTTGTAGCCTATCCGTTGCAGCGCATACAACATGTACCCAATCTTATCATAAGCTACACTGGCTTGGGAACAGGCTCACCTTCGTGGTATTTATGGTGCTTGGCAGCGATCAGCCGCCTGTTCTCTGCATTTTGCAGCTCTTGCTGGCGACCCAAAATCTTGATAGCCGGACGCATCTGATAATGGCCTTTAAAGCCTAGTGACTAAAGAACTGTGTAGCTCCGCTAGAGATCATCAATTTGACTAAATAGCTGTGTAGCTTGTCAAAGTCATCTATTCTGTCGTACTAAAGACTGCCTTATCGCGCATTGTACCATAGCGATCTAATCTGTCCCCCCCATAGGTATCGGTATCCCAAGTCACTCTTGGCGAGGTCACTATGTTGGAGCACGAACGTGATTGGCTTAAAATTGATCAAAGGTGAATGTGATCACATACGCAACTGCTGGACGCTCATTAGCAAAGGCCGATCGCGTTGCCCAAGTATACCGTACTGGATTAATACAAACATCATCAGCATCCTACCACTCCGTCAGTATCTGCTGCTGCTGTTGTATAGTGTTTCGCTACCTAAACAGTTCTATGGACTGAATTACTTGCATCAAAGAGCGAGCTCCAGAGCTCGCTCCTCTATCTTATGCTTTGATTTTCTTTACAGCATGCACCACGCGTGTGGGTCGACCAGCGACAAAGCCAGGTGTCCAAGCACCAAAAGCACTCGGTACCATTGAAACTAAGCAGAATTTATGTTGCTAAATCAAAGAACGACACGTATTGAGTGCATTGAAACTTTTCGCCAGCGGCTGCTATTGCGCTGTACTTCATTTGAGGGCGTGCACATTGACAGATGAGGGCGTGTTCACCGAAGCTTCATATTCTTTGAAACAGTATCTTAAGCTGGAACGTCTGGACCAATTGTCAGGCTGTACGCATGTCTATATTTTACTTCGGAGTGAACTCGCTCATATGAGGAACAACTGCTCTGTACTGGAAAACCGTCAAGTCATATGACACTTCTGCCGAAAGCCTAGAGGATCAAATATGCAAGACCACGAGCGTTTCGTAATATCATTGCAGTGTCACGAATCGCACTCGGTTTCGACTTGGGCTTATCTACTTAATAAGTGCAGCGCGTCGCCGTTACACTGGACTTGTGACGTGAAACACTTCATCCTCTGCTGAAATTATGGTTCATGCGGTTTGTCGGATCAAGTACAGAACGTAACTTCACGTCAGAAAGTCAAAAGCTCATTCATCTTCCACCTTGCCAAACAACGTTTTCAGCGAGAAAGAGTCCATGACATTTTCAGCGATGGTAAACCAGGACAATGTCTCGAAATGGGCTCTCCTTCCTGAACAGTCGTCCAGTCTAGATGATCCATCGCCTGTAAAATGTGATCTCCGGTCAGCGACCTTGGAGCTGTTTGCCACACTTACTTTCGACCCAATAACTCGAAAGAGATAATCCAATCGCCTCTCTCTCCTTACAGTAAGTTTCAAATGTGGCCTCGTGACAGAAAATCAAGCGTTTGAAACTGGTCAGTGACTGAGTCGAAAGGCAGCTGCAACGAACCACACGAAACCTACAGCGAATTATTGTCATCTGCAGTATTGCAGCTCGTCCATCAGGCAGCCATTCGCAATTCATCATAGACACCATAAACGGCTCCATGAACGTGTTGTCGGCTTCGATTACGTCGGCTCTGGCGCTCAAACCATCGACTGTGTACATCCTTCGAGTTAAGAACAGCAAGACGCGACAGAGGTGGCATGTTCGACGTCGCTTCACGGACTTCTGCGAGTTGCGCGGGAAGCTTCTCGCCCTTATCGACGATCAAATGGCCATGTACCTCACATGTCTTGAAGTCGACGATACCGAAAGCAGCTTTTGTACCACTGGCTCCGACGTCAGTTCAAGTGCCAGCTCAAGTGTCAGTACTCGTCACTCGTGTCGTGGAAAGAACCGCCATGACTTCTCTCCACCCCCACCGGATCGTTTTTGCTACGTGTTCAAGCAGTTTCCATCTCGCAAGCTATTCGGCTCACGCTCCGAACGTGTCATCAAAGCACGATCCGTAGCTCTCAATCTTTTTTTGCAGCAGGCACTTGAAGTCGTCGAAGTTGTTCGCCAACGTCGGTTGATCGCCATTGGTTTCAGCATGATGACCCACATTGAGAGCTTTCTCGAATGCAGAGTTCACCGAACAGCCACGAGCGTTGCTTCGCCAAGTGCTTCAGACTGCAAAAGCGAGACAGTTGCACGACGGCAGGCTGTGTCACCCAGTCGAGTTAGGAGAAATTCAGCTGCCAGATCACACTCACCTCAGATATACACCACTTCCCGTTGGCGTTGACGCCATTCTCCACCGCAATTCTCGTCAACCAGAGGCAACAGTCCGATACTGACGGCATCGTCGAAGACACAAGAGCTCAGCGCTGGAGAACTTATACGTCGCTCAGGGGATCGTACCATCAATTCGTCGTCAAGAAGAACGAAGATAGCACAGGGCCTAGCCTCTGAGTCGCCGACGCATAAGTTAGCAACATGCGCACCACTGTTAATAAAGCTGTCAATTTAGTTACTACCATAGTCGTGTACGATACCTTGTTGCTCAAACGTGACCTCCGAACCAGGAAGCAATCGACGATCTCAGGTAGCATAGAGCCAGTTTCGAATGTCAAATAGGCAGCGCCACACAAGGATCTAGCTAGAGTCGGAGTAGACCATCACTGGAACACAACTACCAATCCATTCTGGCTGTGCCATACGGGCTCGTGCTCGAGTTCTGGACGATTTAATAGCTGCGCATCACCACTGTAGCGAGCTTAATTTTTGCCATCTTCCATCAACACTTTCTGCGCAATTTGGACAATGCGTTCATAGGCCACATCCGAATAACGACGCCAGCAAATGTGGTCGCGCCACTGCCGCGACGAAAGCTGAGGGGTCGGTAGACCATGGAAAATCTTAGCCACCATAAAACTCGTCCAACTGCTGCCTTCAGCACTCTTCATGTCCTCCTCGGCTTCGCTACTTTCCATCACATTTCCATCACTGACGCGAAGCTGTATGAGCGACATGGTGTCACGTTCTATAGACTCGATCAACGATGGTGTCAGTGGTCGCATTTTCGTCTGCAGGAGACAGTCACCCTCGTTGATCTCGTCTGTACCACCAACGTCAAGTTCGTTGTAATCATCGAAATAGCGCGCGAACTTAGCTTCAAGAGCACGTGCTTTGTCTTCAAGATCTTCTTCCAAATTGTCGTCGTGAACACGGCGCCTTAATTCGGCTGGAGACGGTGTCGGCAGCGCAGCTGCGCGCAGCGCACCATACAGATGAGCGAGGCGAGAAAGTTGACGAGACTCCAGGTGTTTGTGCTTTGCGTACAACGTCGTGGTAAAGTGATCAACAATCTCAGCTTTCGTCGTTTCGCTTAAGTCAGCGTGCCAGCTCAATTGCACCTGGAATGCTGGTTGAGAACGTGACAGGTGCTGAATCTGGCCAGCCTGCTTAGCTGCTCGCAATTCTTGTAGCATTCGACGCTCATTTGTTGCAGCATTAACAGCGATGGCGACAGTCCCTCCATACAATCCAGTGTCTGGTCTTGCCTCTAAAGCAGAACGGACTTTTGCTCTACGCTGGTACCATTGGACTGCTTCATGCACATGAAAGTCTACAGTCCACGAGCTCAAGTATCCGTCCTTGCGATGTGTCGCACGAGCATTGGGTAACTCGTTTCGCCGCACGGCTTCAAGCAAAAGCTTTGCAAATGAGCAAGGTGCCAATTTCCTCGCTTGCGTATCGAGCAGCTGCAGCGTACATCTACTCATACTCGAAGGGTTCAGCCTCACACGCAAACCTAAGCTGTTGTCCTCCTTGTTGTCTTCACGCTGCGATTCAAGTGCCAGCAGCGTGAGAAATGTCTCAATCGTCGCCGCCTTCATGTCAAGGTGACGTTCCAACCAATCGCAATCTAAGGACACTAGCGTGAAACCACCGCCATCTCGTTGACCGGAATAATTCACAGTGACAACATGGTATATAGCCGAGGTCGCTGCGGTCGTCTGATCCTGGAAAACAAAGGCAAGTAGCTTTCGAAGTTGCTCGCGGTGCAGCGCGGTCGAGAAAAGCAAGGAACGGAAGTACACTGCATCTTCGTCGAGTAAATAGAGGAGCGCTCGCGCATGCTTCCCGTCACGACCAGCTCGACCGACTTGCTGGACGTAGCCTTCCACCGAAGATGGCATATGGAAGTGTACAACTGCACGCACATTCTTCTTGTCGATACCCATGCCAAAGGCCACGGTGGCCACCACTACACGCACTCTGCCTCGAGCAAAGCCAGTACGGACTTTTTCCTTTGCTTCGGGAGACATACCAGCATGAAACGCCAGCACTTTTCCGGTGCTGCGCCATGCGGACGGCAGCTGCTCACGAAGCAGTGCTGCCAATTCCTCCGTCTGTCTCTGCTGATGAACGTACACGATAACACCTCCACCGCTTCCTTTCGACCCTAAAGTCGCTCCCTTGCTTAGCTCTGGAAGAACGTGGACGAGATGTTGCAGCCTTTCATCATTGGAGCGCACAGAGCGGACCTCCAGTGCCAGATTCCTCCGTTGCCACGGCATTTGCAGCACCATATCACTTTCCTGCGCGCAACTTTTGCTGGTCGCAACTTGAAGTTGACGCCGCGATCGCAACTGATGCAGCACTTCGCGCACAACGCGTCGAGAAGCTGTAGCAGTCACGCATAGAACGCACCGGGCATGTCGGAAGACCTCTGCCAGTCGCAGATAGCTTGGGCGAAAGTGATGGGACCATTCAGAAATACAATGCGCTTCATCAACACATACCAGCGCCAGTCGAGCTCGTACACGCGGCATTGCTAGCAGCGATTGCATACCTGCACCCAGGGCTTTCTCCGGTGACAGAAAAATCAGGGAAAGCTTATCTGCTAACAGATCTCGAACAAAAGCTGCGTGTTTGGCCTTTGACAACCCACCAGCAGAGCCGGGCGATCCAGAAAGACACGCCGCACGAGCTTTTAGCGGGTCAGGAAGACTCTCGTACTGATCGTTCATCAGTGAAATAAGCGGAGAAATAACTAGCGTTATTCCAGGTAGAAAAAGAGCGGGAAACTGGTAGCAAAGCGACTTTCCTGCACCAGTTGGCAACACGAGAAGAGTATCCTGTTGACGCAGCACTCTTGAGATAGCCCACTGCTGTCCAGGACGAAAATCAGCATGTCCAAACACTAGGCGCAGATTAGTAAGCATTGCTTCACGCTGTTCTTCTACAGTAGCCTCAATATTCATGGGCACACACTCAATGGATGCTGCAGCTACCGCTGATTCACCAGCATCACTCGAAGTCGAAGCAGTGAAAAGCGTCTGTAGTGCAAGCGGAACATGGTCATCTCCCCACAAAAAGAAATCGCAACGACCTTCATCAAAATTCAGCGGGCACGCGAAGAATCGTCGGCCACAGTTCTTGTTCTTTTTCTTGACCTCGAGGCTTTGACAAGGAAGTGCATGGTGGCATCTCGGCGGCTCACAAGCTTCCATCTTCTGCTCTGCTCCTACAATACGTTCTCCCGTATTCTCAGTTGTAAGGCCACGAGCCTCTTCAGCCCTAGATAGTGCTTCTAAACACTCTTCGATAAAATCCACTCCGTCATCAGCCAGTAGTACCTTCTCTTGTTTGCGGTGCTGGCTGCCTTTCGCATCGACAAGTGGAGCGATGCCGGTGGAGTTGTCACCGGTTGCTTCATCAAGCGGGTTTTCACTTCGTGCTCGTAAATACGCTGGACGCTTCTTAGCACGTCCGGAGCTTCCCTTAGGTCGTTTTCGCATATTAAGGCGCACAAAGTTGTCACTAACAGCACTTTGTGCATTGTCTACTTTCCACCGCTCAAGCTCTGCTGCTTTCGCAGCCGCACTACACGCATTAGTACTGTCTTCACTACACCTGGGCGGAGCCTCAAAATCGTCAAGGCTCAGGGTGCTGTTCACATTCGAAGCAAAGCTCCATGCTTCCTCTTCGATTCCGTCTTTCTGTACTTCTAACGTTTTTCTTTTTCCACTCGCTCTAGTCCCCACGTCCGCCACCGATTCGCTGTCTTCATCGCTGATTGAAGACAAGGAGCAAGGTCGTGGTAGCGGCAATGCAGCTGTCGTGTCGATCAAACCTAGCGATCCGTCAAAAAATCTCTCGTCTTCTTTTTTGATTGCACCTCGTGCCTCGCCAAAGACCTCCTTGAAAACACAATCAAAGCCCACCTCCTGCTTTTCCCGTTCCTGTTGCCTTGCACGATCTGCCACCTTATCTAAAGACGTCTTCTCTGCTCCAGAACGCCACACACGTTGCCGTTCCTGTACCGAGATTGTAAAGTCCAATGCCTTCCCCTTTTGATCCTTTCTCACCTTCTGCCGCGTCTTTTTTTTCACACTCTCATGATTCAAAGATTTGACGGATTTCTTCTTTATACGATCGGCATGCTTATGCATCTTCTTGGCGTCTAGTGCGCGCGACAACCACGCAGCGTCATCTTCACCATTTTTGACCTCGTGGTGGCATTTGACACGGGCGTCTACAGCTTTACCGGCATCGTTATGAAGCAAAAAAGGAGCTGAGGATACAGACGATGGTGCTGAAGTTGTTGCTGCAGCATCCGACGCGATACGAGCTGCAGGATTCGAGATCTGAGCGGCTGTAGAGCTGTCACCCCGCGCTTGTCGTCGAGGCCACATTTCGAGACCCGCCAACAGTTTTGATTGGGTAAGCATAATACCGATATTTCTGCCCCGGTAAAAATACGGTAACCGCCGCGAGGGAGTGGCTACATTTAAAGCGCAACCATGTCGTTGGCAGCGGGAGCCAAGGCGCTAAGTGCAATCGAGTTTCTCCGTCTTTGTGGACGTCTCAAGGTAAGCTGAGATCTGTGAGATGTGTCTTATGATCTTATGTATGTGCTGATGTGAGGACATATATTGAGCCCTTCTATACCCTCCGCTTTAAATCGGTAAACGTTCTAACTGAAATGTGATTGGTATCATTAGACTTTAAAACGCACTGGATGGGTCAATAACAACGTGACGCTGCCCGAGTCTGTAGCTGACCATATGTACCGCATGGGAATGTGCTGCATGCTACTAGAAGATGCGAATGAGACTATCAATCGCTCCAAGTGCGTGGCAAAGGCTGTTGCTTCAGAAATCTCGCTGTTGTTGCACATATAGTCACAATAAAGGTGTGTCTTGCAATCGTCTTCGCTGAACAGATGTCTCAAGATGGCCATTGTGCATGACTTGGCAGAATCACTCGTGGGAGACATCACGCCTTACGATGGTGAAGCTTGTTTTGGCAGTAGTAATTTGAGCTGTCGATGAAGAGATCAATCTGTTGACACGAAATTGGTTGCTACATTGTGGGGAGTGGTTATCAGGTGTTGCTCAAGAGGATAAGCATCGCATGGAGAAGGTAACTAGGGCGGTTATGTTTTGTCATACGAAGGTGATCCTTTGCTTACTGTGGTTCGTTTTGATTCTTGCTGCTGTCAGGAGGCCCTGGACGAAATTTGCAGCGCTTTGGGTGACACGTCATCGGCTACCGAGATCCGTGCGCTCTGGAATGAGTACGAAGAGGGATCATCCGAAGAGGCGAAAATCGTCAAGGTGTGTATGTTAATCATGTTGCGAGATTCGGCGCTGCCCACAATCGATACTCACGTCATGTACCTTGACATTCATGCGACCTTGTAGGACTTTGACAAATTCGAGATGATCTTACAAGCTGACGACTACGAGAAAGGTGCGAGTTTGCCGGTCGATAGTTGCGCAGCAATTCTCTTGCATTTATCTAACGCCCGATGTTTCCAACATGCGTCCATTCCCGTCATCTACAGCCCACGACATCTCGCTCGGAGACTTTTTCCAGAGCACGAATGGAAAGTTCCGCACGCCACTAGTTCAGTCCTGGGCCGCGGAGCTTTCTTTGCAGCGCAATGCCCGTCTCAAGAACAAGGAGCTGTCAAGTATACCTGAGACATAAGCAACGCCGACCATGTCCAAAAGACGTGCAGCTCGACGTCGTAAATACACTTTTGTGGTATTTACGTTTCGTAAGAATGCACGCCACTCACTTATTTGTCCTAAACAGCGGATCGACCGACCACCTATCAAACGTGGCGCATCGTGACGCAGACCAATCAGAGTGAATTTCTCCCTATCAGCGCGTCGACGTCTTGCCCCGGTCTTAATTACCATGTCTCTCGCTGCTGTGCCCACGGCGTCGCTGCTATCAGAGCTCCAGAGGCGCATCGAGTGTTCAAGCAAGAAAGAGCGTCGTGCCATCTTCATCGGTACGCAGTAGGAGTCTTGGTAGTAGTTGTCTAGTAGCCACTGAAGGGGTGACGCCAACGGCATCTCAATCGGTGTTGTCAGTATTGACAAATATGCTGCTATATTTTCCGGTGTACGATAGGACCCCCTGGATGCGGGAAGGGTACGCAGTCGCCGTTGGTCAAAGACGAGTACTGTCTCTGCCACTTGGCTACGGGCGACATCTTGCGCGCTGCGGTAGCTGCTGGCACTGACATGGGCAAGAAGGCTAAAGCTGCGATGGAGTCGGGCGCTCTTGTGACCGACGAGATTGTCGTCGGTATCATCAAGGACGCCATCAAGAGTCCGGAATGCCGTCATGGCTTTATCCTTGACGGCTTTCCACGAACGGTCGTGCAGGCCAAAAAGGTGGGAACAAGAGGAGATAAGACGAGTGTCCAGGTTGCAATAGGTCAATTAGAGCACAGCTGCTGACGCTGATTCCCTCTTTTTTGTATGTGACTTTTTGGTGCTGTGCAGCTTGACGAGATGTTGACGAAGGAAAACACTTCGGTGGACGCTGTGGTGAACTTTAACGTGCCGGACAAGGTGCTGGTGGAACGCATTGCCGGTCGACGCGTGCACTTGGCTAGTGGCCGTAGCTATCATGTCAAGTTTGCTCCGCCGAAAGTGGACGGCAAGGACGACATCACGGGTGAGCCGTTGATCCAGCGCAAGGACGACAATGAAGCCACGCTGGGCTCGCGTCTGGAAGCTTTCTACAAGCAGACGCAGCCCGTGATTGACTTTTACCGTGAGCAGGGCAAACTGGTGGAAGTGAATGCCCACACGGAAATGCATAAGGTGACGGAGCAGATCCGTAAGAGCCTCGGTTCGGATTAGAGTACAAGCGCTTTGTTTGGTCCCTCCCTCCGACTGCTTACAGACATTAGAGCATGCCTCACGGTCAGCCTGTCTGTTTGCTACCCTCGAACTATTGAGCATATGTTGAGTACGAGATGCATGAATATCGACGTCTTATCGAGTTGCGTGTAGCGTCTAATAATGGCTCATCTTCTCGCTTCACGTCACCCTCATCCGCATAACCGCCACTTGACGGTTACTGACTGTACCGATGCAGTTCATTCACTCGTGGCCAACCAATTGTTCGAGAGGGACGTATCCAGCCATTGAAACAATCGGAAGAATCAGCGGAGATGGGCAAGTCCTCGCTGCTAAATCTGTACCTGCTGGCCTTCAATGGCGTCTCTTGTGCTGGCTGGGCGTACGTGCTGTACCTAACAGTGGCAACGGTTCTCCAGGTGCGTGAAGGTGGCGATCACGACTGGAGCCAAGTGGCACAGATCACGTGGGACGTCGTGTCACTGCCGCTCAAAGTGGTTCAGACGATGGCTGTAATGGAGATCGTGCACGCTGCTGTGGGCTTTGTGCGCTCGCCATTGGGCTCTACACTCATGCAAGTGAGCTCTCGGCTCTGGCTCGTCTGGGCTATCAACGTGCTCTGTCCCGCCTCGCGCTATCAGTTCGGCTTCCCGCTCATGGTGGCCAGCTGGGGCCTCGTGGAGGTGCCGCGTTACTCTTTCTACGCGCTCAATCTATACGATGCAGTGCCCAACTTCCTCTTCTTTCTGCGCTATCACCTTTTTATGCTGCTTTACCCCTCGGGTGTGCTCGGTACGTACTTCCTTACATCTATAATGATGGGCTGTACGTCGATAAGAATGGCTTGTTCCATTGATGTGCTAGTAGAGCTTACAGACTTTTTGTGTTCATCAGGCGAAGTGCTTTGCATGGTGAGCTCGCTCAGCTTTCTCTCCACGGGCGTGTATGCCATCCAGCTGCCCAACACGCACAACATCTCGATCTCGCTCTACGTAGTGGTCATCCTCGTGCTAGTGGTGTACATCCCAGGTCTGCCCGTCATGTACAGTCACATGCTCACGCAGCGTAATCGTGCTTACTCCAAGACAAAGATCAAGACTGCATAGAGCAGGATGAGGTGAGAGGAGAATGTGCGAAGTGCAGTAAAAAGCTCGGAAGCCTTGAAGAGCACGAGACAAATTCGCACCCTGTCCGGTACGCTACGTCGATTCTACATGTACCTGCTTCTGTCCGCAGTTTGGAACCGGGCTAGCTATGTGCAGTCCTTGAACGCCTATTCGGATCGGATATCATCCGATGAATTGTAATGGGGTCAGGAGTTTCTCGGTATACACTCAGTTCACCAAAGCATCCTCCATCAGGAGTTATAATGTGCATCAAGACTTGGCGCAGCCCATTTGTTCCACCACGTCCGAACGTATACACGCGTTTGTACGACTTTATCACCAGATCTCACTGCTTGTCGTATGTATACGGCTAGAATAACTGCCGAGCAAGTGTAGGCGATAGAACTAGTTATACATGACCAAAGCCTGCGATGCTGGCTGGTGAATGTGGTGCGATCGGTCAATGGTCCGAGCAAACTGGTGTGCTAATTATTGCGTCCAGCGCAACAGTACGACGCGTCAACGGATGTCCGCACCAACAGGGTGTACTCACAGCGATGTTTTGTTGAGACGAAACATGAACGATCTCTGAACTTTTTAGGGGCGGTTGGCCCCTACCTTGAGTCGCCTAGTAGACCGTCCCAAATAGCTTTCAATATCGTACTAGTGGTTGCGCATGATAAGGACGGCACTATTGTTGTCACGGAAGCATCAGCTTACATCAAAGCTTTTCCACAGCCGAAACCATTTTTGTGCGCTTTCGTACCGCCCTTTCTTGCATGAATGTGTAATCTGCTCGAGTGGAATCTGCTTCGTAGCACTATGCTCGTTGTGTAGCCGGACTCTTGCAGGTTGTTTTAGGCAGAACCATTACTTCTTCGCTGGCGAGTCCTCAGTTTGCTTGATTTGTTCGATCGGCAATGAGTCGCAACTTCTTCGTTCGACTCCAGGCCTCGAGCTCACATCATCCGGTTCGTCGTTCAAAGAAGGCGCATGAGCGGAACAAATGCTCCGATAGCATCCTTATGATTTGTACATGTCTGTGTCAGCAACATACTGCAAGCAGCGACGTAACAGCCTAGGCACCACTACAACAGTGCTGGATCAACCTACTTCGAATGACCTCGTTTCACTGGCTACTGGAACTGAAGACCTTCTTACATCTATCTACCCTGTACCTTGAGATCTGGACTGTTGCTTGATGCCTATCACCTTGTCTGTGTGTGATCGGGTGTCCCCAATTTCGTTTCAATAGTTTTCGTCACCGCGATTTATTCGACGACAGCCTTTTCTCGTCGCTTGTGCTGAAAGGATGACACGCTGCAGATCAGAGAGCACCTCGTTTTGGGCTTCGGCGAGCATTCGGAAGACATCAGGTCACGAGAGCGACTGCTACTAAAATAAAACATGCAGTCGAAAGACCAATGCCTTGCCATCGGATCGAGACGTGATTGCATTAGTGTCTTGCATGCTTGTCGATCGGAATTGGACTTCAGCCGGCGCAGCACTATTGCATGTATAGTTCTGACTTTAATCGTTTTGTGAGCGGTCAAGTGACGCCAAGTTTATGGCACTGACAGCTATGCGAATGCAACGATCGGGCGGCCGCTGTAATTGCCCTCTCTCCGATCCGTACGAAACAACTGCCTTGGTATGCAGCATTTTCTGTCATCCGAAAGTAGCAGCAAAGCTTAAAACATGAACCCGTTCAAGAATACTGGCTTCTGGACGCAGCACATGGACCCGGGAGCGAGCACATGCGCACGCTTTTATACACATGACCACGCTCGTTGTGGTGCTCTGTCATATTCGCTTGTCAATCATAACGGCGGGGAGGGCATACTTCATCCAGGCAGATGTCTTCTTTCGTTACGGCATCGGAGGCTTCTAAAATTATCCTAGCACATCAAGCTAAAGCCGAGATGCCGTTAACAAGTGTACTGTGTAATCCGGGCTTCGATACAGTAGAGCACAAATGCGGAGCTGGTTGATAGTAAGTTAATTATGCCGTGCAATACAAGAAGGAGGAGGCACTGTCGACGTACCAGAACATAACTGTCGGGATCAAGCTGCTTCGTCGATCAAGCTTCTTGCCTCGGACTAGAAGATGGCGCTTGCAACGCGACATTAAAGAGCAGCAAAATGCTCGTAGCATTTAGTGCCAGTGACTGCTAGTTCGACTGTGTACCTTGGCCCAAAACCTCAGTTGCAGCAGCACGATGACGAGGAGGAAGGAGCTGACGGCGAGTGGCGGGACAAGGACAGCTGCTAACCACGAAGACAACGAACCACAAATCGAGGCAAGAATGCTTCCGTTGTGTGCGATTGCTGCAATTGAAATACACTCGCGCTCATTTCTCTCCTCCCTCCGTCTAAAGGCCGCCTAGCAAGTCCGGGTTGCGTGCCGCTTCTGCAGTCAAATTACACACGCAACCAACAACAGCGTACGTATCGCACATGTGAGCACTTTGGTCCATGTCTTGATGCTTTCAATGCTGCGTAAAAGTGTACCCACCCACCCGTTTATAAGCTTGATATCGGTCTTGGAAAGAGATTGACTTGGCGTCGAGAGTCGATGGTTTCTTGGGCGTTAAATCGAAGAGTTCCTGGATGAAGGGCATCTTGGACAGCACGCACTTCCACACCACAAGCCAGCTAATGCTAAGAGTGAGCAGGACGATGCACACTGCGCCAGACACGTAGATGCCCGTCACCGCGAGCTCTTCAAGGCCCATTTAGGTCTATTTGGCCTGAGGTGTGGCTCGGACGCAGGAACACGAACTTTGTCGCATTAAGTTCGCACGAGAGATGTGACATTATCCGTCGTCTTGTCGATTTTGATACTCATGTTTTTACCACAAGCCAGCACGAGTCATAACACCGATTAGCGCATACCAGCGACTGTAATTTAAGGACGTTTATACACGTACCTTTGGCCTCCACAAAATCGCTCAGTAATTGTGTCAACAAGTCCTGATTGACCTAGAGCTGATCAATCCCTCTGCTCTTTGTATTTGCGTCTATTTTTCGCATTATCTATGTAACATTGTGCAGCGGCGTCCCAGCTCTGCATGTATTTAGTTCATTTTGGGCCAGGTCAAAAAAGCAGGTAGAATAGTTAGACTATCTATCTGAACTATTAGAATGGGAATTTTATCTTCTGATCATTTCTGTAGGCTATTTAACCATACAGCCACAGAACTGCGAATCGATGTAGGTGTCCGACTTTGATTCAGAGGTATATCAGTCAATGTTAATGTATATTCTTTCAGACATTACTAATTTGGACAGGTTCTACTGTATTAATTCCTGCAGTGAGAAAAGAATAGAATAAATTACCTACATTCGAAGAGCTAAACCAATTTGATACCACAAACAGCACAATTATGTAGCGGAGCGACACAGCTCCTTACGTCAGAGGAAGGCTAAGTGCTTAAAGAGCATATAAGTTCGAAAGAACTAGACTTTATGAGCCAACAAGCGTGAAGCTAAAGGTACCTGTTCCAGTAGACCATGCGATTTAGTGAATCTAAAGCACTTAGTGCTCAAGAGTAGCTACATCAGGGAGGTGCTGCTAACTGTAACGGGGTAGGCTGTTACATGATATTGACACCAAACGGTGTCAATAGGGAGATTGTTTAGCATGACAATATCCTACCAATATTATCCGAGATGGATAACATTGAAGAAATATTGTCCCCTTTTGGATAACATTCATGCGCTGCTCCAAGATTGGTTGATAAAAGACACATCAACCATAGATTACCACCAATCGCTGCTAGACGCGCGCAATGAGTGGTGAGCAGGTTATCGTCATACGACGATGTAGTTTAATATAATTAGATAAAGCTGGAGTTTTATTGATAGCTTAATTATGCTGAATACAGTTCTCTTTTTACCCTTACTTGAACGAGTACTTTACCGAGTCGTTCAAGTAGATTATCTTCCTCTGCACGTACTAGTGTACGTGAAGTTTTGTGGTACCCAGACAAAGGGTGCCCCGTAACACCTGGTAGCACTTCTTTTTCCGTCCAACGACTACTTTGTGTCCGTCCAACATGTTCATGTTGGACGTTTAAGACGACATGTTGTACGTCAAATGTGAAGGCTACTCCCATCTGAGTGACTCAGAGTGGGAGGTAGTCAGCCGCATGAGTGTGCTCATGGGCGAACCCACCATCAGTGGTATATTGGAGTCTCTAAGCAGAGACCAGCAACAAGCTAATATTAACAAGTTCCTGCAAGAGAAACTTGCCGTCGAACGACAGAAGATAGCCTTGCTACACCAGCAAACTTCCCATCAGTCGATGGGTGGGCCGACGAACACGCGGCGACCCGAAATCTTGAAGATTGAAATCTCAAGGTACAAGAAAACCGATGAAGCTTTCTTTTTGAGATATTTCGACGAGTTAGACGACGCCATCAGGGCCCGTCATATCGAGGGTGACGAGATGCAATTCACCTTCGCCCTGTCAAATTTGACAGGACGGGCGAAGACTTGGGCCTTAGGGCTCAAGCTTCACGACCCAAACGTGTTTGATTCGTTAGCAATCTTGAAGTCTCGGCTCAAAGAGACATTTGAGCCGCCAAAAGCCGAGTGCAGAGCGTGCTCTGCACTCTTGAGGCTAAAGCAAGGTAATCGTGACGTGCACGCTTACGCACAGCACCTACGATACCTTGCGAGCAGCGTTACGGAAAACTTTGTTGATGAGCACACACACTTATCAACGTGTTCATCTACGGCCTTTTAGATGGACCGGTGAAGACCCACATGTTCCGAGAGGGCTTCCATACGCTGGAAAAGGCGATAGCGTATGTGTATCAAGAGGACTTTAGCCTGAGACAGTCTCAGGCTAACTTGTCAAATTATCGTCCAACGAGACGACAGGAAACAAGAGGTCCCGAACTAATGTACATCTGTTAATTCGAGAGCGAGAGTTCTCTCTCTCTCTCTGAGTCACAAGCGATCGGCAAGATGCCATCGCTGTCAGAAGATTGGACACTACGCTCATGAATGTAGTGTCCCGAGCACCGCAACACGTCCAAAGTCAGGACGTGATGAACACCGTTGGCCAAGGAAAGGTCCAAGGCGTGGGTCCGACCACGTCGCTAAGCCACGACAACAAGTCGGACCGTCAAAAAACGGACAGGGTCAGTAGGGGCGGAGTACCCTGCTGATCCAGCTGATAAAAAACGGACAGGGTCAGTAGGGGCGGAGTACACTGCTGATGCAGCTTCAAGAGAATTTGTAGGGTTCTTGACGAAGATTGCTCCCAACCCACAGTCGCTGTGTGTTTCTGCCTCTAGTGATGAGGAGTCTCTCATCACTTTGAAGATCGAATTGACAAGTGTAATGTCACTTCGCGCCCTAGTTGACTGTGGGGCGTCGAACATTTTGATTCAACGCCAGTTGCTAGAGAATAGTAGACTCAACTATGCGGAGCGAGAGTTCCCTCCAACGAGGATGACGGTGTGACTTGCTACAGGCGCATCCGTAACAGTGAACAAACGTGTAGTGGGAATACACTACACGCTAGAAGGAAAGCAATACGATTATGACTTCATCGTACTGGATTTGGATGACAAATTTGACGTCATCCTTGGTCTGACATGGCTTAGCAAGTACCGGCTATGGGTTAGCTGGCAGCATCGATCCGTGAAGATATATGCCGTTTGTTCATCAGATGGCCATCTGATGGAAGTCTTGGAGCGTTCACAAGCGTGTGGATGTACTACGAGTGAGTGCGATGGCCTCACTTGTGGTACGGTCGCTAGTACGGCTGCACAAGATCACAGTGTAGAAGGCCACTACACTGTATAATCAGCTTCCGGCACCTGTTCATCGACACAGGCTGCGCCAAAGGTTCACTACTCGAAAAGATCGAGTAAATGGGAACATTTATGCACACCAAGAAGGTTGCATCCGAGAAGAAAGACCTGTGTTGTTCAGGATGAACAATACGTTGGAGCGGAAATAGACTATTAGAGAATCGATCGTAGAGCAAGCCCGATCGAGAACCAGAGAGTCGATCGAAGAGGACGTGACTGTGGTAGTAAACCCATGGTCATTACACGTATTGGAAGAAGGATCCAGCGTTCCTGAGAGTGTTCACTTTCGAGAGAGTTATGTTGAGGGTGTGTTTCCCCACCCACCTGCAGATGTGATCCATTAGAAAATCACCAAAGCAGTGAATGTCTTGGTGAATTACGGATAAGTGTAGGCGCTTATATACTTGATCTGGTAACGCCCCCGAAGTCAGCTTCGGAGGTAGTCAAGTTGCCAATTCTAGATCTAAAAGAGTCTTGCGAGATCTGCATAGTGACAAGATCAAGTGGATCTGTGTACTCGTCGCAGAGGACGAGTACGTCGCCGATATTCGGTCGGCACAAGTTTTTGCTAGGAACGAACGGAAACTAAGTAGCTCATCGATGGATGAGAGTGTCGTTGATGAGAAGACTCGGATTGAGCGATGCACGTCTCAATGTTGGGAGTCTTTAAAAAAATCATTTGTATAAGGATTTGGTCAAATTCAAGAATGTTTTCCTGAATTCATGCAATGAGAGCTGCCTAGAGACAAAGTCACTTGGCGTGAGATCGAACTGAAACGCGGTTCAAAATGCTGTGTCATGAAGCAGTGGCCGCTGCCTTGTGAATAGGTTATTGCGATCAACGTATTCTTTGCCGATTGCTTAGCGGCTGGTCACGTGAGAGAATCAGCATCCCTATACAGCTCTCCGACCTTCTATGTGCGAAAGTCCACAGGAGGGTGGCGGATAGTGCACGCGTTCAACAAATTGAATGACTTCAACGGTGCCGGCTCAGACGCCGATCCCAAGAAAGGACGTCATCATTGATGGTACGGCAAGGAGTACCATCTTTTCATCCATGGATCTGATGGATGGATTCTGTCAGATCCTCATGCGTGAACGGAACATCCCTTACACAGCAGTGAGCACCCCCAGCGGTATGCTCTAAGAGTGGCTAGTGATGCCATAGGGGCTAAGTAATGCCCCCGCAACGTTTAACAGATGTGTTACGAATCTGTTGCGATCGGTGCGCGACTTCGCACCGAGTTACTTCGACGATGTCTTCATCGATAGCCAGGCTACGGATGGAAAGACGGACGTGGAGGTTCATCGAATCCACGTCCGGAATATTCTTGCACTTGTGCGTGGGCAAAAGCTGTTCGCGAACCTCAAGAAGTATATATTCGCAGCGAGCACAATACCACTTCTTGGCTGCATCGTGGGTAAAAACGGTGTACGCCCTAATCAGGAAAAGATCAAGGCGATTAGCGACTGGCCTGTGCAAGTCGACGTCAAGGGACTTCGAAACTTTTTTGGCTTGGCGGCGTACTTGCACAAATACTCGCGCAACTACACCGAGATGACCGTACATCTCTCTCGTGTGTTCAAGAAAAACGAGAGGTGGTCATGAATTGCTGAGTGCCAGCACTCCCTTCAAAGGTATCAAGAAAAAATTGATACAATCGCATGTGTTAGGGATTGCGGACCAAGACAGACCATTCCATGTAGTCTGTGACGCCAACAATTTGCAGTCAGCTGCGCGTTAATGCAGTACGACTCAGACGGCGATAAGCGCGTCTTCTTCTATGCGTCGCGTCAGCTGCAATCGGAAAATCACGCTCAGCTGCTTGCATGCAGCTGAGCGTGATTACCCGGTGCATGACAAGGAATTCCTCGCCATAACAAATGCACTGGCTAAGTTCCGGGC